CATTTTCTCTGAAAGATGGCCTTGTGTAATGGGATTCAAACATATCTCAATAGCCCACAAGGATAAATGCCTGGTGAGAAGCACACGGACGTGACAACACAAAAATGCCTCTACTTAAGGGATTGGATTCAACTCCCAACAGAGTAATGCCAGATATCAGAGTATGAAAAGAAAGCTACAAAAATTTAAAATAGAAACTTACCACAGAGATATTTTTATACTACATCCAAGGAATGTAACACAGGCCATCTGAGACCCTGGGGAAGAGTATAAACCAAAAGCCGGGAAGAGGCCCTAACGGGGTGATGTCCACGTTCTAATGGCCTATTTAGTTCAACAAAAACAACAACAACAGGCTACTAGAGGTGTCTTTGACCAGCTCAGGAAGCCGCATAACACTTCTTCAAGGGAGCGGAAAAATAGTCCCTTGTTGATATTTTTCATCCTGATTAATTAATTGACTGTGCAGGTAAATGTCTGCAATTATGATGCAATGGGACGAACGAAACTGCAAGAGTGTCCCATGAAAGTGGCCAACTTGCAGCAAGAATTTGGTGGATAAATTGTTCTTTAGGGCAGGTCTGCATCCTGGTCACTGGAATATTCCTGTTTCCAGGCCACCGTACCCTTCACCTAAGACGCCTCTGAGAAATTTTACTTGAATATGTGAATGACCCAGTAATTCCCAAAGTTTCATTTTCAACTACTTGCATTTTTGCTCCTAAGAGAAAGGGGTGGCCGCCAGAGCTGACTGTCTCTGGCATGCTGGAGGCTGACCCCAGTGACTCCAGAGACCACCCTGCTCTTCTGGGAAACTTTCTCTTGCCAGGCTGTTCCAAGGGTCTGTACCCGGCCTGATTACACCTATCCGCCCACAGTTGGAACCAGGCTGACCTGGCGATGGGGTTGGACCGGCGATTCCTGAGCCCAGGAAGGCCACATGGCAGGCTTTGGAGTCAGACCACTGGGCTCCAGTCCTGACCACCTGTCAACTCTGACCCTGGAGCAGCCAACCACCTCCTCTGAGCTCCCATCCCCGACGAGGGCTGGGAGCTAACACAGATGTTGTGACCACTGGATTCAGGACACGGCCTGATTCGGGAGCTGAGGCCTTGTTTTCACTGGTATCAAGCCAGCGGACTGACACCACCAAAACAAGATGAAAACCGAGGAAGAGAAGATTTTTTCTGATAGGCTCTTAGGTATTTTAACATCCCGCTTTTGTTTTTCTTTACATTTTTACTATAAATTTATCCCAGATCAAAATATTTTCTGCAGAATATAGTATTTTTGACTCTCAGATGGTAAAGCAACTGCCTGCAAATGCAGACAACTCAGGTTCGATCCCTGGGTATGGAAGATCCTCTGGAGGAGGACTTGTGATGAACATCCACTTAGGAGACAGGTGATGACGACAGAGCCCTGACTGACCTGACTGCTCTCAGATTGCTCATTAAGTCTCACTTATCCACCAGCCCTTAGAAATGCTAGCAAAATACACCTTTAAGGGAGCTAATATAATACCCACATTTTGGGAAGAAAACACCAAACAAACCAATTAATACTCCACTTTAATTCATCACTGATTGTCTATGGGCTTCCCAGGTGGCACTAGTGGTAAAGAACCTGTCTGCCAATGTAGGAGTCAGAAGAGACACAGGTTCGATCCCTGGCTCAGGAAGATCCGCTAAAGGAGGGCATGGCAACCCACTCCAGTATTCTTGCCTGGAGAATCCCATGGACAGAGGAGCCTGGCGGACTACAGTCCATGGGGTTGCAAAGAGTCAGACACGACTAAGCAACTTAGCACACTGATTGTCTGGTATTGTGCTAAGAGTTTTGGTGGAGCAATCGCAGCATTGCTCCACTTTGTAAGTGATCAAATAGCGCATGTTCTGTCATGCCCACCACCTGGCATGTGTGTCTTCTACCACTTCCTGAGCAGACTGGCTGGGTGCACAGACAGGGCATCAACCAGTGAAGGGTTCGAGGCCATGTGGATGTGTGCTCATGAGCAAAGCACTGTGAACAGGAAGTGGCCAGCAAGCTGTCCACTCCAGACTGCCCGGTGTCTCCATCTGGACTGTTCTAGGTGCCTCCAAGATGGTCCCCCCACTTCACCTCTCCCTCCCCAGAACCTGTTCCACCCACAGCCAGAGTGACAGTGATGCAACACTCAGGTCTCCCCTCTCAGAGGTTCCAATCCCTCCCAGGTGGGGACAGACCAGGCCTGAGAGGCTCCCGCCCTCACCCTGACCTCCCCAGGCACCCTCTGCTGGGCAGGCCACTAGCCAGCCTCACTCCTCTTCCTGTTAAAATGTTAGGGCCGTTCATGGGGTCACAAAGAGTTGGCTACAACTGAACAACAAGGGTTCAACTGAGATTAACTCAGGAGTCTAAGGTGAAGAATAAACCTAGGCGTGACATTCTTAGAGGAAATTCTCAGGACCCTCTGAGATACTCTAGACTTTTCATTATAAAGAGCAACCTGATGCAGAATCTCAAATTCTTAATAATGAACAAGAAACTCCAACTTTCTTCTAATTTTTCCTTCTTAAATAATTCTGAAATTAATTTTTATGATAGGAAATATTTGGTTCAGAAATTATTCTAGATCTATAGGGAAACAAACTTAAGACCCTAAAGGAATTGGACTGTGACACAGAAAGATTTTCTCAAGGATTTAATCTGAAAGTACTAGATTTAGTAAATTCGTGTTATGTTTACTATTAACGTACTTGATTTAGCTTTACTATTATAGTTTTTATTATTTTTTATTTATTTTATATTTTATTTATTTATTTTTACTATTATAGTTTTTAAAATGGACATGTTCTTTTTTTTTGGACATGTTCTTTAAACAAAAGTTAATTGTCTTCAAATGAACCAAGTGTTATTAGTATATGTCAGACATTTGCCTTAACATCACCCTTATGAGGCTCATCAAAACATAAATTCAAGAACTATTCAGTCTAATAAGTGATGAATATTTCAGAGCACAATAGAATAAACATTACTGAAAGCTGCGTGCACATTAAAATAAAACAGAATTTTCAGGAAGAAAGTTAATATTAGACACTGATTTCCTTTCTTATGTAAGTGCTGGCTCAATTGTAAACATAATCTTATTTGATACAGAGACCCAGTATGACAACAGAATGCAGGCTTAAAAACTACCAAAAAAAAAAAGTTTTGCTTCTGAAAAAGCATTACAATTCCATCTGCATCAGCTGGTTCCCAATGCTCTTTTATTTTAATGACAGTTAATTATGACCATCATTTCACAATGGCTTCAACATACCTACATGAAAATATATGTCTTCAGTGCAAATCGTTTCTTGAGCTTTATGGGTTTTTTTTTTAAAATTATTAAAAATTTTTCTATAGCTCAAAAACACATTTGCAAATTAGGTGCTTTGGGTTCCTTAGTAACCCACGTGGGTGTTACTGTTTTTGGATTTCAGATGGAATCTGGCATGGCCTTGTCACGTGTGTGTTCATCATAAGCAGAAGAAAATATGACAGATCAATCCATCTTGATGTTAATTTCTCATCATATGCTGAGAATAACTTCTCCCTTCATCAGAACCACACAGAAGGTGTTTCATGATTACTTTTAGACGAGCATGCAGGACAAAATTTAGAACTCAAATGTGTATCTATAAATAAAGTGAATCTGAAGGGGATTGAGAACACCTGATTTCAGCTAGGAGCCTGCAGTTCTGGGGGACTTTTCCAGTATGTAAGCCATTGTAGCGTGCTAGAAGGACCCAGGGCTCTAGTAGGCTGAAGCCCAGCTTTGTTCCCCATCGTTTCCTTGACACCTCCCCTCTACGACATCCAGTTAAAGACACAATTAAGTAAACAACAGTGTGCCTGCCATGCCAGACGCCACAATCACTTTTTCTAGGTGGTTTGCCATCGCTACTTTTGCCTTCTTAGAAATTCTAGGGGTTTCATTGGCTATGTTGGAATGCTTATCAGAAACAAATGTCATGTGAGAGGATGCAGTAAAAAGCTTTAAAAAGTAATTCTTATCCGCCATCTGGACACAGAGCCTATGGGCAATTGTGTTCTACTGAAGGGGGCGGGGAGGGGGATGCACACGGGCCCATCTGTCTTACACAGAACCTCCCGTGTCAGCTTCCCTCAGAAAAGAGAGTGCTGAGAATGAAAACCATCTCAAGGACACCATGCCAGGCAGCGGGAACTTTGAAGTACTTTTTTTTGGGGGTGGGGGTTGGTTCCCCCCCGGCCCCCCCCCCTTTTTTTGGCGGACTTAAAAAAAATGATTTTCTGAGAAACCAAAGAAATATTTTCTCCTTTGAAACATGCTACATCAAATGACCAAACAACAGTATTTTAAAGAAATGTATGTCCACCAAACAAGAGAAAACTCATATATTCACATCACCCTCTTGCATAAGCAACAGTGCCATCCAAGTGATTTAAAAAAGCAGCCCGAAATTCTGTGGACATGAAGGGAATTACATTTTCCCAGGAGACAGTCGACATTCAGAAGTGATCCAGGTGTGACCTACAGCTGGCCTGTGCCCCTCACGTGAACTGAAGAACCCCTATCTTAAGAGTAAACTGGGTTCTGTTCTCTTACTCCCAAGGATATGATCACCTACCATAAAGCACTTCTTTCTGCTCATGTAATCTCTACTCTTCTGGTATTTGGGAAATGGCATAATTGTTGATTTAGAAATACGCAGGGGAAAAAGCACCACCAGTATTTCTTAGAGGTATGCTGTCTTCCTGATCATCACCTGCACCAACATGCTCATTAAAACATTTCTTACAATCTTCCTGTCTTTACTATTTTTAACACGTGTTAATATTTTGGTATAGAGGGAAGCACTTCTCCCTGGCAGAGAGCTATAATTTTGAAGAAAGTCAATAAAGAAATAATATTAACACTGGTTCTCAGTAAGCCACCTGGTTAACAACTGTTCCATCTTGCACCGTTTAAAATACTTTGGTAAGGATTTACTTACCTGGGAATATTCAAAGTCAGTGATGGGGGCAATGCTCTTGATATAGTCTGATCGAAACTGGTTTTCCGGGTTGGCCAGTGGAACGGGGGGAATTATGGTGCTCATCGCCGACACAATTGTCTACAGTGGAACGAAGGAAAAGAATGTACGGATAAATAAACCACTTAGGCGCCATGTGTGATAATCTAATCTGTGATTTTTGTCTACACTGTTTGAGGGAGCAGAGGACACAACCTTTTCACTGAACAAATAATTAAGAAATCCCTGGGACTTCCCTGGTGGTCCAGTATTTGAGACACCAATGCTCCCAAATCAGGGGGCATGGGTCCAGTCCCTGGTAGGGGAAGTAAAACAAAACAAACTCCTTACCACAATAGCATCCTTAACGTTTTTCCGGATGTCCAGAATTTTCTGTTTCTTCTCTCTGTATGAAAAGAGAATGGTTATTAATTAACTTTATGCAAAGCTGGCCGAATGCTGAATGAGACTTTAGATTCCCAGATACAGTGGGGCTGACATAGATGATGGGGTTGATTAGATGTCAACATTAGCCCCAGGACAACAGTGAAAAGTTTTTTTTTTTTTAATCTGGGCAAGAAAAATACCTACCTTTTTCAGGTTTGGACTCTAAATAAATTTGAAGGGACGCACCACAGACTCTAGCTCTAGACAACCACACAGGTTAACCATAACAAGGTAAAATGGTCATGACTACTGCTACAAAAAATATCGGGCTACACTTGCAAACATATCTATCCATATGTTGAATTGAAATAGAGGCAGACACAGAGAGAAGTATATATACTGACACATTAAGTGCGATCAGAGCAATAGTAATAACACAGATCAATACCTCGAGTACCTAGTAAATCATACTTTGTTAAGTAAATATTTTGATGTAGGCACCACCAGAGGAAGGATTTGCTTAAATATGCCAAATTGAACAACTCGCGTCTATATTTTCTGTCCTTAAAGGCTGACTCAAAGATCAAACTAACTGTTTAGAGAGAACATTTTTGGGGAGGCCGGGAGAGAAAGGACAAAGTTTGCATGCGGTTGGGAAGCAAGCCCGGAATGGTTCATTCCTTACTCTGGATTAAATCCGTTGACGTGCAGGATCCTCATTTGTTTGACGATAGTGCTTTTCCCAGACTCACCAGCCCCTGAAAATACACAGAGAGAACGCTGTGACCAGGGGCTGAAGACCGTGGCCATCTCTCCCGCCACCAGAGACGCACCAGCGTCCTGCCCGCGCGCGGGCGTCTTCAGGCGCGCGCTCGCGGTCGGCGGGGGCACTGGCCCCGCAGCCCGGCCCTCTCCGAGCCGCGCGGGCCATGCACCCGGGTCGTGCGCTCTGCTCTGGCCCGGCGCCGCCGCGCACCCCCCGGCCTTACCCAGCAGCAGCAGGCGGTGAGTCGCTTTGTAAGCCAGCCGCTCCTTTTGCAACTGCTTCTCGATCTTTTTGTTGGCCTCGCGCCGCTCCTTTTCATCGACGCCCTGGTCTTCTGACGTCTTGCTGTTGCCCAAACACCCCATGCCTGCCCGCTCGCGTGGACCTCAGGCACGGTTAGGAATTTGCACAAAAGGCGGCAGACAACTGTAGGTGTGTGTAGACCCTGCGGCGGCCTTTCTTCCCGCTGTTGAAAGAGACGTTCCGGTCTCTCGGTGTTTTCGACCAGAGCAGGCGTTTCTTCTCCCTCCCCGTGCCCACCGCGAGCTCCCAACTCAGAGAACGCAAAGAAGACGCGCGGAGCCAAGTGCTTTTTAAAGACAATTGTTTAGAATGATCTGCTGGATAAACAGCAGTAAGTGGAGACAAGGCGGAGAGCGCCGGTTCTCCGGAGCCGGCCGGGTGGCGCTGGCCCTCCCCGCGCCCCGCGCGCCCCTCTCCTCGCGCCCGGCTGCTCGCGCCCGATGAGCTGCCGGGGAGCGCCTAGGGGGACCGGAGCATGGACGCTCTGCCGGGTGCCCGGGCCCCGCCGGTGGCGGCCGAGCAAGGCGCGGTGGGACGGAGTGCGCCGGGTCCCCGCCCGTGACTGTGGTCACCTGTCGGCCACCCGCGCCCCATCCTATGTCCTAGCCCCTGAAGCCTCCTCGCGGCGGGGAAAGGGAGCCGACAGGGCGGCGGGGCAGGGGGTCCTGGGGTCTGGAGGGGTGGCGGCCGCCCTCGAAGGGAACCGCGGAGGCTCACCCGCGTGCAGTCCTAACGCGGCGCGCGCGGCTCCCTCGCAGCCGGAGCGGCTCTGGGTCTGGGCGTGCGCTCCCGCGATCCCGCACCGCCTCCGGCTCGCGGCGGGCGAGGCCTCGTGCTGGATCATGCATATTCTATCAAGGGGAGGGTCCGTGCAGGGCTCAGGCACCCCGCCTCCCCTCGTTCCCGTTCTAGACGGTTCCAGCGCTCCCACGCCGCCTCCCGCCCCCGGCTCTCCTCCGCGCGCTCTGAGCAGCTTGGCTACTTTTCTGGAAGACGCCGTGGCCCGGAGCCTGGCTCCGCCGCCTGAACCAGTGAGGGCGGCTGCCCGTTCCCACCTGTTGCGCGGGTGCCAGCCAGACACTACCCCGCTGCTGCGGTGGTGCTCGGCGTCCTCGCCGCTGGACGCCGGGGGTCACCCCGCTGTGCGTCTCCAGGCTCGGCCCTGTCATCGCGCGCCGATTTCTCTCAGGGCTCCTCTCGGCTCTGCCGTCCAGTCCCCTCCAGCCCTGACGTTCCCTCGCGGTCCGCACGCCTGGCCTCCTGCGCCCACCGCTCCGCGGGCCTCACCCGGCTTCCCTCTGTTTCTTCCCTTCTCTACAGCGCGGTCCCCCCCGCCCCCCCAGGCCGTACATCAGCCCCACCGTGTCTTGCTGCCCACAGGCTCCGAGTTAAAACCTAGGACTGACTCCCCCCGCGCCTCGCGGTTCGCCCCACCTCGGTTCACACTTAAGCTCCTGCGGTCAGGCTTTGACCCACCCTTCACTGAAATACTCTCTCAGAGCCATCAGCGGACCCTGGGGGCCGGACTTCCCCCAGGTACTGTTGTCTTGACCTTCACTGACTCCCCTGGAGACTCCTTCGGCTTCCCCTCCCCCCCACCGTGTCCTTGAATTTCCCTCCCCTTCCACCCGGAGCAGGCGCCTCAGCCCCAGCCCAGCCCCCTGTACACAGCGCCCCAAGCACACCTCCACATCGGGGCCTCCCAGGATTTTCCCTTGCCCACCCACACCGCCAGCCGCTCCTCTCTCTGGCTCTGTGAATCAGGTCCCTGATTTCCTGAACCAGGACATGGTTTGATCCCCTCCTTTTCCTTCTTTCAAACCCAGTCACTGTGTTCCTTTGGGTCCCTTTCCTAAACATCGCTCCTGTTCTTTCCACCGCATCTGCCAAAGCCACGGTCACTGTCCAGCCTGGATGTCAGCAGTGGCCTTCTGCTCACTTCCTCCTGACCCCCGGCCCGTTGCCACAGTCACAATGCAGATCTGACCACCTCGCTGTCCCCACCACTCCCACGTCCTCAGCCATGGTCCATCAAGACTGTTTCCCGGTCAACTGTGCAGCTTGAGCCCTCATGTACGTGCTTCCCGGAGCTCCCCAGTCCCCCTTCGGCCCCTGTGTGTTAACACCCCAGGACATGGTGTGGGCCCCTGTGTGCTGCTCTCTCTGGGAGAATTGTATAATGGTTCGTTTACTGCTCTTTCAGAAGTCCACTGGGCTTGGGCTCAGTGAGCGCCGAGGTGGAGCCCGCCCCTCGCACCTGCTTCGCTGTGCCCAGTTCAGTGCCTGGCCGAGGAGGGAGAGGCCCCATGAGTCCTCATTGGATGGATGTATGAATGAATTCCCAAAGGCCAAAGATAACTCCCTTCAAGTGTAGGTTCTCATGAAAGGAATTTCACCATCAGATTTTAAATTCATAAGATACTTGTCCAGTTTAGCACCATATCCAAACAGGAATACTCTTTCAAAGACAAAAGCAGTGAATCTTTCTATCTGTCAGGGCAGAAGCAAAGATACAGGATGAGCTGGGTAGGAGTTTCAGCAAGTGAAAGGACACTATTCAGCAGTGTCCTGAGGCCTCCCTCTTTGTGTTAACACAAATATTTACCCAGGGCAGCATCCACACATCCTGGAAGGTGGTGGATGGGGCAGTGCGAGGTGAGAACAGATGCACAAATACAGCAGAGTGTGGTGGGATGTTTTAAAGGATATGTCTATTTTTTCTAATGCCAAGGTGTCTATAATACTGTCAGCTGGAAGAGAAGGGGACAAAACAAATTCCATGGAAGCTTGCTGTGCTTAGTCGCTCAGTTGTGTTTGACTCTTTGTGACCCCATGGACTGCAACCCGCCAGCTCCTCTGTCCATTGGGATTCTCCAGGCAAGAATACTAGAGTGGGTTGCCATACCCTCCTCTGGGGGATCTTGCGAACCCAGGGATTGAACCCAGATCTCCCGCTTTGCAGGCAAATTCTTTACCGTCTAAGCCATCAGGGAAACTGATAAAGGGGAGAAATAAGAACCTATAACCCTAAAAAATATAGCAAAAGTTTTCACTTGTTCAAATTTAGGAATTAGAATTAAAATAACTCATTTCTATGACTTGTCAAGTGATTGCTGGCACTGAGCTAAATCCTTTCCATGGAGTGATTTATTTGGTATTTGCAATAACCCTGAAAGGAACTATTGTGACTGTTGTTTCATAGAATGCTAGAGGGTGAATAAGAGGTGTGTATGGGATCTAAACCTTTGCAGCCTGGCTGCAGCATCTGCACTATCCATCCACAGAACACTGTTGTTGTTGTTGTGTAGTTGCTCAGTCGTCTCCCGACTCTTTTGCAACCCCATGGACTATAGCTCACCAGTCTCCTCCGTCCATAGAATTCTCCAGGCAAGGACACTGGAGTGGGTTGCCATTTCCTTCGCCAGGGGATCTTCCCAACCCAGGGATGGAACCTGCATCTCCTGCATTGGCAGGCGTGTTCTTTACCACTGAGCCACCTGGGAACCAGTCCAAAACATAAAAGCAACTTGTTTACATGGCAATGCAACATTTCTGATGAGAAATGCCAAGGTGATATTTGCACAGTCTATTATCAGGTAGGCGGTCAAGACACTTAAAAACAAAAACCAGTCATGTGGCCTTTTCCTAGTCTGGTCTAGGTGACCAGTCCTCCTTTGAGTTTTGAACCCTGGGCTCAGAATGCGGAATCCCATCTGGCTCACCTGGAACACAGCAGCGACTGTTGGGGAGCAGCTGGGAGCGGGTGATGCCCGCATCTGTTGCCAGGCAACGGCAGCACAGCAGCATCACCACCTTCGCTGCAGTGCACGCCCACCTGCGGATGTGAAGGGCCGCTGAGGGGGCAGCCAGGTGGGGGGATGCTGGGGTGAGGGGAGGCCCCGGGCAACGAGGAGGGTTGGGAAGACACGGAGTTTAGGGTGAAAGGGCAAATTCGAAACAAAGTGGTTTTTCCTGCTCTTGTTGATGTTAAGAGACAAGGAGTCTTGTGAAAGTGAAAGTGACTCAGTCATGTCACAACTCTTTGTGACCCCATGGACTGTAGCCTTCCAGGCTCCTCTGTTCATGGAATTCCCCAGGCAAGAATACTGGAGTGGGTAGCTGTTCCCTTCTGCAGGGGATCTTCCCAACCCAGGGATCAAACCCAGGTCTCCTGCATTGCAGGAGGATTCTTTGCCAGCTGAGCTACCAGGGAAGCCCCCCAGTGCATTTGAAAGTTGAATTATTTGAATTTCTTTTGTACTTAATTTGTGAATTTTGAATAACGATTTTGAAATTTGTTTTTTGTTTCAGCCCCTCCCCCCACCATTGAAGCTGGTAGATGTCCAGAAGTTGACAACTATTTTCTGGTTAGCTGGACCTAAGTCTCTGCTAGCAATGGGAACAAAATTCATTTTCTGTTATATAAGGAGGCCCTCCACAGAAATTTAATTAACAGCAAGATGAAAAAAATTCAAAGCAACTGTCTCACATCACCTCAGGTCTGGATTCAAGAGATGCTGAGCTCATTTGAAAAGTGACCAGAATGCTGTGGAGCACAAGATCGTGGATATATTGAATTAAATTTAAAAAATCAATGTTTTAAAAAGTTAATGACTGGTCTCGAATTTTATGGGACTTCCCTGCTGGCTCAGTGGTAAAGAATCTGCCTGTAGTGTGGGAGACGACCAGGGTTCAGTCCCTGGGTTGGCAAGATCCCCTGCACGAGGTATTCTCCAGTATTCTTGCCTGGAAAACCCCATGGGCAGAGGAGCCTGGCAGGTTGCAGTCCTTAGGGTTGCACAGAGTTGGACATGGCTGGAGTGACTAAGCAGCAGTAGAAGCAGGCCCTGGTGGGGAAGGGGATGTACAGAGAGCAAGAGAACAGCTATCTTAAGTGGCCTGACCATACGCCCCTGTAGATGAGAGACTGCGGCACCATACAGATGTTTTAAAGGATTTCTCAGAATAAAATGTTAGAACTACCATCTTTGGAGAAAACACATGGTGATGTCTGATATCTGGTGCAGTCTCCTCCTTTATGTACTAACTACAGGTGTGGCTCAGATGGTAGACAGTCTGCCTGCAATGTGGGAGACCTGGGTTCAATCCCTCGGTTGGGAAGATCCCCTGCAGAAGGAAGTGGCAACCCACTCCAGTATTCTTGCCTGGAAAATCCCATGGATGGAGGAGCCTGGCAGGCTACAGTCCATGGGGTTGCAAAGAGTCAAACGCGACTGAGAGACTTCACTTTCTTTCTTTCTAGCATTTTTTTTCCCTGGCATTTTATACTGTAGAGGTTACTAAAGGTTAAAACCACACTCTAAGACGTTTGGAGCAGGAGTATAGAAAGATTTAAAAGAGGAGGAAC